ATGCCCAATTTATATACATAGTATGAACAAGCAGCAAAATATGACATGCTGAAAATCAAGTATTTTCTCATTTGGAGCGTTTTTGGACGCCTGTATCTCGAAAACTGCTCCAAGGATTTTTCTTAAACTTTCCCTATCTAGAGTCCCTCCGGTAGTCTTGTGTATGAATCCATCCAATAAGACATTGAAATGCCTGGAATAGGTAAAAATAACGTACTGAAAATGCTCTATTACTTTATTTTTGAAACAAATTTTTACAAACAAGTTACACATTCAGATAGCTGACCTAATTATGATTCTAACGATGTATAATATGTATTGAAATATTTAAATTAAATTTTCGATATATTGACATTTTTGCATTTTTGGCACTATTGAACATAGGATTTCCAAGGGACATTTTATCTGATCAGACAATGTAATATATCATTACATACCCCTGTGGCTATTTGATAAGCCAATCCGGTTATTAAAACTATCCCGACAATAATCTCCATACTGAAAGTAATCAAAAAATGAAGAAAAAAGGTTTAAAAAAATAGAGCTCTTGCGAAAAACCTGATTTCTCCATCAGATGTTAGCGGACCAAAAGAACTAAAGTATCGCTGGATAGCCCCATTAATGGACTATCATATGACATCTGAATGATACGATTTAGATGGCTAGAAAATAAATTATGGTACGCCGAAAATCTAGTATTTTCCGTTTTGGAGCATTTTGAGACGCCATTTTCTCGAAAAGGAAAACTAAGTTTTTTCTTAAACATTTTTTACTCAGAGTCCTATGGGTGGACTATGGCGTGAGTCAAAAAATAAAAGCATTGAAATAATATAAGTGGTCCAAAAAGAACCTCAATCTTGGAAAAAAAGTTGAAAAATCCTTAAATTACTGGAAATGCTCTTCTATTTTTCTTTCTTTGGAAAACAGCTCAATGGATTATTCTGAAACTTCTTGTACAGAAGGTAAGGTAACCAAACAACTTGTTAAAGCTATCTCGACAATGATCCAAAAACCGGAAGTAGTCGAAAAAATTTCCGATATTTTGAGGAAAAAAAACGTAAAATTTTTTTAAAAATGGCGATATTGCGAAAAAAGTGATTACTACGTCAGATTCCACCGAATCAAAACAACTAAAGTGTGATTGGATAGTTCGAACAATGGATGATCTTGTGACATCTAAATGGTAAAAATTCGCGGATTAGGTAATATATAATGGAACGCTGAAAATCTATTATTTTCCTTTTCGGAGCCTATTCAGACGCTTTTATTTTGAAAATTTCTCTTATTTCCTTTCTAAAACTTCTGTTACTTAGAGTCCTAACGGTGGTCTATGGTGTGAATCCAAATTTAAAAGCCTCAATATAGTATAAATGATCCAAAAGGGCCACAATCTTTGAAAAGAAGTCGAAAAATCCTTATATCTGTAAATCTGCTTCTAATGGTATAAGGGAGGTAAAAATGTCCAATGGATCTTTCTGAAACTTCAGGTACAGGAAGTTAAGTTCCCATACCACTTGTTAAATCTATCCTGATAATGATCCGTAAACAGGAAGTTGTTAAAAATATATTCGATATTTAAAAAAAAAAAAAGACAGTAAAAATATCGGTGCTCTTGCAACAATCGAGATTTCACCGTCGGGTGTGACCGGATCAAAACATCTAAGGTATCGTTTGGTAGCTCGATAAATGGGCTATTGTATGACACACTTCCTGTCTGGTTTATGAAAGCCGGTTCAGTGCTGCTTGCAGGTCTAGTTACTATTTAATTCTAGTCAAAATAGCCATTGACCAATGTCCGAATTGATATATCTTTAATGTTTGTGGTCTTTTAACTGTTTGGGTTTATACTTAATGTAACGATATATATTACGTAATTATAGTTAACATGCGTCCTTGCTATGTCGATATCTTCTGTATTTAAACATCTTTTTCCTATCTTTAATGTTTGTGGTCTTTTAACTGTTTGGGTTTATACTTAATGTAACGATATATATTACGTAATTATAGTTAACATGCGTCCTTGCTATGTCGATATCTTCTGTATTTAAACATCTTTTTCCTATCTTTAATGTTTGTGGTCTTTTAACTGTTTGGGTTTATACTTAATGTAACGATATATATTACGTAATTATAGTTAACATGCGTCCTTGCTATGTCGATATCTTCTGTATTTAAACATCTTTTTCCTATGTACAATTTATTATCTCCGATCAAATATTATTATATAATTATTTTAATCCTAAGCTTGTATGTATGTTCTATATTCTACTGTAACTTTAGTCTGGTGACCGGCTCGTCCTAGCGATACCTATCTCGTTATTCTGACCGTTAGCCAGTTTCGGACACTGGTTTATTAAAGGTACAATGTTAACTATTTATCTGAGTTTTCGTCGTTAGTGTTGGAATAAGCTACAAACCCCAGAAAACAGCACTTTGGCAATTGGTGGAGAAAGTGGGTGGAGTATTGAGTTACTCATATTTTCCGGTGAACCCCTTCAGCGAGTTAAGTAACAACGGCATGGATATGGAACGCTATTTACCAGCAGAAGCATTGGCCGTCTTCAGGTATATGGACACGTTAATAGTAACTTGGAGTCTACGACAGGATTACAGTACCACAGAAATATGTTTTAAGTGGAGCAATTCTACTCATCGTAAACGAAGTGATACAAATGGGCCGAGGGTGCCTAAAACTGCTGAAGTGGCCGTGGAGACAGACTCATTGCCTTTGGTATCGGTGGAAACAATGTGTTCTGTGAAAAGTGTGAATCAAAGTTGTTAAATGGACATTGGAGGACCAGCGAATACAGACAGTATGTCTCAACATGTAAATCGATGGACTAAGAGCATAAATGTGGATACAGACAGGCATATAACTTTAGTCGGATTGATTAATGATAGATATTAACGACAGTACACTTTATCAATACACAAAGATAGTTAGATGACCGTTCTCAATCTCTTAATGCTAACGTATAATATTGAGATATTTTTTCATATTTCATTTTAAAGGTCGATTTCAGAGTAATGAATTCAAATCCACATGCAGAAAGAAAGACGCCGTACGATGACTACAGGAAATCGAGATACGGATAGTCATTAAAAAATGACGTTTCAGTCATGTTTGACTTTAATGATTCATTTTGCATGACCACATCTTTTACTTCTGTACTCTTTTACTCGGGGATATTAGAATCACAATACCCTTCTGACGGAAATATATTTCGAATCGTTTGGACTGCACACGATGGTAGAGTCACTTTAAAACACAGTTTTAAAATCGCTGTCGTGAGAAGAGAGGGTGGGACATTATAAAACAAATTCTAAATAGGATCTTAAATTAAAATAAATTACAAAACACATTATTAAGCAGTCAATTGTTTTATTTAATTAGGGGATTAAGGAGTCAGTCAAGCGTTAATGAATACACACGCCAGCTGTATATAGGTAATTAAGGAATAAACATTCCGAATATGCATTCGGTCACTGTGACGTCACTGGCGTCTGAGGGGATTAAGAGTGTTTTCGATAATTGGCAAAGTCGTTTTTACGGGAGGTCTATTTTTGCGACTTTGAGCGAAGATAGCTGAATTAATTTCAATCAGATTGGTGTGAACTTGCCGTAAAGTGGATATAGTAACCATTGGCTACACGTATCTCACAGTTTCCAGGCCCATCTTATGGGCACTTTAACTTTTTTCTTCCGACAAATTAAATTCTAAAACATTTTTTTATGTATTAGAAAAATAAATAAAGAGGTTTGAGGTATTTGTAGGTAAAACTTATTTCCTATTTAGTGTAAATGGGTATTAAAATGAGTAAAGGGCTCCATTCCGCCCGAACCAGTAAGGTCTTACGTAAACAATGCACGCGCCATTGAGCCAATGATTGACGTCGCGTGATGAGACGTCACGTGTTAAAGGTAGTCATCTTTTACAGAGATATTAGAAGACTTTCGTAATCCTCTGTGAAACAGATTGTGGTTGATTATCCAATGTCTTTGGCCAAGTCAAGTAAGAGTTGCGCCCCTTCCCGCAATAAATCTCATAATTCTTGCATTAACATAAACAAACACGAATCGTGACGACGAATTAGGACTAATTTAAAAAAAAAAACCCAACATATATGGCGCATGAGGAGAGAAATTTTACAATAAAAATATTTAAGAGTGTTGGATATTGAACTGGCAATGCAATCAAATGGATTTTTTGAGTTGGCATTCTTAAATTAATTACATTGGGCGTCAACATTTTGTTTTAGAACTAGTTACCTCCCTTAGGCTTTGTCTATGATAATTTAAAAGACCGGATAATCTAGCCGATGACCTATTATTCTCAAATGTTGACAAAGCACCCAGACTAATATTCGTCGAATATTTTTCTGGATGATAGAGACTAAGGTGAATCCGTCGTTCTCATACAACCGATGCCTCTTCCGCGAATTTTCATTTCGTAATCATGTTGAAGAAGATATTTTATGCTAAAGGCTCGATAGAAGAAAACAAATGTTGTCTTACCACAACCATCGAGTTCTATATATATTATTATAACCACAACACGCACGTTAGGCCTACTTCATAGTACTTGAAATTGAGAAAGCGTCCACGGCAAATTCCAGGCTAGCTCTAGGCAAATGTTATGTTCCCCATAACAGGTAAGACTGGGTGTGTACGAAATGTTACAGGCGAATTTTGGAAGGAAGTTTTAATTAATTTCTTCCAAATTCTGAACATTCCATTTTTGTGAAAATGGCAAGGTCTGGAAAACGTGACCTTGAATACGTCCAGGCTCCTACTAACTAACCGCTGTACTTCCATTGGACAAATTTTATGACGTCATAGGTCAGTCATTTTAACTTCCTGACGCCCTTTTGTCTACGAGTTCATTTGTTATTTCCGCGAATGAGATCTGTGCGCAGGCGCGGTAAGAATAAAGACAAATCATTGGCCCGCTCTTTTCATTTATGCATGCTAGATGACGTAGATTTTACATCACGTGATCCGCAAGTCGCCATGATGGAAAGGAGAACTCTTTCGAAGGAAGATGTTGAAGACCAAAATACCAAATGACTTTTGATGATGTTGAAATTACTGTTGTGGCGCTCCATAATTTGTTTTAACCGTTGAAGGTAATTTCTAAACCAGACCACAAAATGTAGTATGGTCAATCAGTCCAGTATTGAAGCTAGAGAATTTATAATTTTATTCAGGGTGTACTGTGAAGGTTTTGCCAAGGGAGCCGCATATTGTGAATGTTCTCATACCACGACTCGTTGAGAGATAGCACGCGCTACAGGCATTCAAACTTTGATAGTGCGTGGTGAGTGTTTGGTGTCATTCAAATATGGCGGCCCCCATAACATGTGCTGTTTGTTGAACACATTTATTATGGTTGACTTTCGACAAGTTTCGTTGTATTCTTGTCGTATTTAAAATTTTGACAATATCTTAGTACGACAGTAGTACTACTACTAGTAAGTAGTAGTAGGCCTACCCGTACTTACTCAGTTACTGTCCAGGTCATATCCAACAACAAATTATTTTCATCTTTTTTTTTTCTTATTAACTCAGTAACTTTCAGATTTGAAATCAAAAGCCATTCAGGCCAGTAGATTACAATTTATTTTACAAGCCCACTAGACCCAATTTCACTGGCCCAAAAATTTGGGTAGGTGACGCTTCGGACTCGGGGAATTTGTACGTTGAAAAGTAAAAGGTTGAATACAAACGATTTTATGAAAATAACATGCAAGTAAAATTCACCGCCCGCCGTCAATTACAGCATGTGGAGTCGTAGATCACGCACCGTATATATACTATTCAAAAAAAGTAGGGGATATTTGATTTTTAAGTGTTATTAAAGTCACCTAATGAAACTGACGAAGAAACAAATGACAAAATGAAATGAAGTTCACATTCATCGATTTATTCAAAATGATCGTTAGACTAAGTAAGGCACAGACTGACCATTATAAGGGTAAAATGATACCTGGGGTCAAACAGCAAAGTTACCACAGCATCACAACCAAGTCAGTAACGGGTAAATCCTCCTCTGTTTGCCAAACAAGCATTGATCCGACGTGGCATACTCCTAATGAGACGTCTAAGGTCATTTTGGTCCAGATTGTCCCATTCCTGTTGCAACGCAGCAGCAAGTTCTTGGACATTGGCAGGACGTTGTTGACGTTGATGTAACCTCTGTCCAAGCATGTCCCAGACATGCTCGATGGGGGAGAGGTCGGGACTCAGTGCTGGCCAAGGTAATGTGGTGATGTTCTGTTGTTGGGGGTAACCTGTAACGATCCTGGCCCTGTGACATCTTGCGTTGTCATCCTGGAAGATGAAACGGCGGCCATGACGTCGTGCGAACGGCACAACATGGACTGCCAAGATGTTGTCCCGGTAGTACTGGCCTGTAACACGCCCTGCAACAACATGTAAAGCCGTTCTTCCAGCAACAGTGATGCCTCTCCACACCATAACAGAACCACCCCCAAATCGATCATGTCTGATGACGTTAACGTCTTGGAAGCGCTCGTTTCGACGACGCCACACCCACCTACGTCTGTCCAAAAAATCAACAGTGAACCTTGACTCATCTGAAAACATCACATTGCTCCAGCGTCGATTATCCCAGTGTTGACGATCCCTACACCAACGACGTCTTGCCTGAATGATGATCTCTCAAACAAGGGATCACGCGAGGACGTCGGGCGCGAAGGTGACCCCTATGCAGTCGATTCCGAATCGTCTGGCCACTCACTCTCACACCAGTGTCTGTTTGAAGACGAGCGCTGATCTGATTTGCTGTGATGACAAGATTTCTCAAGGCCAAGGTACGGATAAATCGATCCTGGGCTTGAGTTGTCGCCCTTGGTCGACCTGAGCGTGGTCTGTCCTGTACAGATTGTGTATCACGGTATCTGGACCATAGCCTGCTTATGACAGACTGAGAAACATTCATCGTCCGCGCCACAACCGCCTGTGTTGTGCCGATCTGTAGCATGCCAAGGGCACGTAACCTTTCATTTTGGGTAAGCCGACGCATATCAAAATTTGTTTTCTGGTCACTAAAACAATTAAACTGATGTTTCCACCCTGGAATTCAATGCCACAATGACTGTAACATTCAAAGTCAAAGTCGTGCAAATCTTGGGTTGGACCCCCATGATGATCCCAAGCATCACCTGCATTCCATGCGGTAGCTATTGGTGCGTTTGGGCGTCACATGTAACTGGAAATGTTTCTTCTGTTAGGTTCTATAGTGACTTTTTTCGTAGTCATTTGCATATTTTAGTATTATGCCCCCAAAATCAAATATCCCCTACTTTTTTTGAATAGTATATACCGCTTATTAAGGAACGTCAAAATTTCCAATGTTGAATATTTATGAAAAGTATGTTTTAGTTCTTTATATTGATATGTTATATATCTGTAATATGTACAAAGTGGATATTTAACTTTATACGGCAAAGTATCTACTTCCGCTATTTTACCGTACATCGTTTCTGATTCAAAATGGCGGAAAGTACAGATATATTCCGCCATTTTGGTAACTCGTCTTTCAAGTTCGGTGCAGAAGCATGAATTTACGGGAAAAACATAAACCACTGACAGGCTTAGTACTTAATTAAAAACCAAAATCTGCAGAAATGCACCCTCGACCAAAATAGAATAATATTCTAAATGCTTTTCTACAATTTACATTTATTATCTTATTTTCTTTTAAAAATAATTCTCCAGTTTCTACCATAGAAATTCAAGTATGGCTATTTCGTTCCTTTATAAGAAACGGAAAAAAGGAGCAATGTTAGACAAAAAACAAATAGAACTGTTGGGTTAGGTTTTGGGTTAAGGTTAGGTTTTGGGTTATGGGTTAATGTCAGACGGCATTGCCAAAGCGAAAACTGCCAAGTCCAGGTATCAGAGAACTGCACATGTTAAACGGAAGTGTACTGGCAAAATAGTAAATAAAGTAAAGTCATGAAACACATTGTTATTAAAAGGCTCCACCAAACGATAACCCATTAGCTGCACAGGTAGGTTTTCTTCATAATCATATAGGTCACTTCAGTATAAACTAACCTATCACTCTAAAATATCAAATGTCGCATCACACATATCCATACATACACAAACTAGGGTTGCTAAATTCCCGGGAATTTTCAAACAGGTTAAATTTCCCGGGAGTGTTTGGGGAATTTTGGGAATTTTCAGTTTGAAACCTGTGTCGCTATTAATGAGTTGCAAGTGACAGTAATATTTTAATAACTAAAAGATACAAAACATATTATCTGATATGTCATATATACTAAAATCTAATAACTAATAATGAGATAGATCTGTTAATGCACCGGTCAATAGGAATCTTGAACTACCCCCCTTCAAGCATTCACCCCGGATTGTCATTTAGCTCATTATTTTAGGGTCAAGATTCACCCCGCAATGCACTTGAAGCCAAGACACATTCACTGAAGATTCACTTTCTAACGCAGGTCCAAAAATAAACATTAGTTTAAGATTCACGCAATAGTCATCTTGAACTACCTACCCCAAGCATTCACCCTTGATGGTATTTTGCTCAATATTAGGGTAAAGATTCACCCCCAATTCAAGTACCGGATCTAGGTAGAGCAAAGTGGGACAAATGTCCCAGGCCTTCATTATTTGGGTCCCCCTAAAAAATTTGGCTCTTTGTCCCACCAGCCTGCAGAGCTTCGAGCTGGAGAAGGGATTAGGGCCCCCAAAAAGATGTGGTCCAAAGGATTTTCAGCGATCCATGGATTGGTGTGCCCCTAATTTTTACTAACTTACCTAATTTATCAATCCATGGACCTCTGAAAAGTGTCAATGAATCCGTTGGATTAAGCGCAATATATTTCATCTGAAGAAAATCGCTACTGGAATGGCCTCAGTTGCACAGAAATCAATCCTAATTTTACACATTTTATCGGTAGGAGAACCACCCAGACACTCCTTCGCTCCGTCAGCACTTGTGTTGAGTGCCTACTGTACAGGAATGGGAATTCTGGGAATGGTGAGGCCCATGCACTCAAATTATCTAAGGGTCAAGGACATCGCTGCATTTATGAAAATCATTCCTAATTTTCATAATTTCACCCTTTTTTCCATACGATTACATCATGTGTTACTACTCCGAGAATACACATGATAGCAAATGGCCGGCATTTAAAATACTATGCTAGTCTCTCAGACGATAACTTAATTCGCTATAAATTGTAAACAAAATTACCTTAGTTAGAAGACAAATATACCTAACATAAACTTTCGAAAAAAAATACTAGTCAAGAATATAAAACTGAGCCTACTGGGGGTCGGGCAAATTACTCATAGTTCCATTGGCGTCAGTTCATTTTACCTAAATATTCTAAAAATAGTAACAAACTTGACGTTATAGAAATAATTTGAATGTGGACCACGAAAACATCATAAAGACAATCGCGTCTACAATTATACAGTTGGAATTTCCTATGACAGCCAACGATAACAGACGGAGGTTCATTCGTTTTCAGAAAAAAACCACATTTTTAAAAATACAATATTTACTGAAAAATGTGTTGGTTGAAGATTCGACGTCTATTTGTGTTCAGCAATATTTTATTTTGTTCAAGATTCACCTTTGGCAAGTTTTTTTCTCACCAAAGATTCACAACTCTTTTCACATTTAGCTGGCTATTTTGACGTCAAGATTTGACGCCGACATGGCGTCGAATAGCCGTCGATGCTTGAGGGGGGGGTAGTTCAAGATGCCTATTGACCGGTGCATAAATTGTTCATACACAGCTAGGTTACACATTCTATAATTAATGCTCAAAGTTAGGTAACTCTGCCATTTCATCATTATCTACATGTACATCATCATCGGTGGATAAAAGGGAGATTTCAGGTTCAGATGAATCCTCATGAATATCTGAAATTTCTGTGCTGGAAGGATCGTCAGCTTCGAAGAGTTTCAAATTAGATCTTACACAGAACAACTTTCAACACTTCATTTGTTAATCTATTTCTAACTTTTGTATGAGTTTTAAACTTGTACCAAACAGAGACCAAATGCGTTCTGATGCTGCTGATGAAGGTGGTATTGCAAGAATTAATGAAGCTATACTCG